CATCATCCCCCCTCCATCAAATACAGCTATTTTCCTTACTCAAACATTAATTGTTTTATGGAAAATTAGAATATTGTAGTATCTTCATACCCCCTTCACCTGCTTTTCTGCTCTTTGCTATACAAATTCACTTCAGGGAGAACCACTCCCTCAGAAATACTAATTTCTCTTCTTAATAAAGGTCATTACAGAAACCATTGTAGATGCACAAGTGCACCAATAATCTTTAAAAATATTTTGCATGTGATCAATCTAGTTTTTCCTCATGTTGGATTAAAAAATAATCTACTTGATAGATCTTCTCTTTATCCCAGAACCATTATTCTTGCAAATTCTCTCCCTACATGGCAGTTTCAAAAAGAATTCTTTGCTTTTTTCACTGATGTATTTTCATTGTACAGTCCTGCTGTTTATCTAGATAAATGCTTTGTTTATCTCTTACTCTCCCTTCTTTCAAACAAGGCTTCAGTTAACTTGTAAAGCTATATAAAACATGACAAAGTTATCCTACCCCAAAAAAAACCCTCATGAAAAGGAGACTTGGGAGAGACAAATTAGGGCCAAAAATAACTGATCCAATAAATGCGCACTGAGACCCTGCCCATGTCCTTCTACCCGAGAGCCGCCCGGAGAGGGCGGTGCATGCTCTCTGCTAGTGGGATTCGCCCCACCAAGATACATTGGAATATCTGCTAGGTAGATTCGAGGACAAGTTAGGTGAGTTCTGTGTCTCTTAACTAGCATTTGATAAAAATTGTGTGGTGCAGTGTTCATGATTCCTCAAAAACACCCAACATGAACTTCCATTGTTAAGCACGTGGGAGCTTGTCTCATTGCTGGTCACCTTGGCAGGGGAAGCGATCCGTCTGAAAAGCAGATCTGATTGTTTTCCTCCACTCTGTCAACAATAGAAAACTTTGTTGACTCCACACTTGCCCAGAGGAGTGTTCAGGTGTCCATGAGACCTTGTTAAACTCTCTGCTCTCTGGCACGCCTGCCACTTGTGCTGCACCCCAGGTGTGTGGACCGCACCTTGCTCTCCACCCTCGGCCTTCCTTCTCGCCTGCTGCTTCCCTGCCCAAGATACGCTTCTCTCCCTTGCTGCCCAGTACCCACCTGTCTGCTAGGTCTCAGTTTGAACAACATTTTCTAGAACCTTCCCTGCACGCCCACACACTGCCCATCAGTGCCCGCAGACTGCCGTCTCCTCTGTCGCACCGCACAAATTGTTGCTGCCTTGTTAGCTGTCTCCCACTGCACAGCAGGCGCTCCCAGGGCATTGCTCCTCATATCACATCCCAGGTCTGCTGCTCCTCTTCCTTCCCCCTCTCTGTCCCCCACTCCCCCACTTCTCTCCTCCTTCACTTCCCATTCATTTTCATCTCAGGGAATATAGGAGAAAGTTAGGCCACTTATACAGTGGGGTAAACTGAAGGAGCTTTGAAACCCCACTGGAGTCTGCAACCAACCTAAAGATTCCAGCTCTCAGCAGACCTGGGAAATAAGGGAACCAACCAGTAAGTCCTGTCAGATCTGCTGTGTGCCCCACATACCAGTGTGGGTGGGGGGCCTCAGGGTTAAATGAGCCAGCAGGTGAGCCTGAGTACAGGTTCTGTTTCCAAGTTGTTTACTTATTGACTCAGTTTCTCATCTGTAAAATGAGGATCATCTATCTCAATAAACGTGTTTTACGTTGTTAATTTTTGTTTTGTTTTTAATGCCATACCCAGTGGTGATGCAGGTTCTGGAAACAGGCTTTCCCTGATACTGCCAGTGGAAGTGTCAACTAGTATAAACTCTGGAGTGGAGACAGGTGGTGCACATCGGAGTCCCTAGAGTGCGCAAGATCTCTGAAACCTGGCTCAGCAGACTCACCTGGAGGAATTTATCCTCAGAATTTATCCTGATTGGTGCACTGTGAACAGCAGTGTGTGTGTATAGTGTTCATCCCAATATCATTTCTAATTAAAGAAATGGAAAAATAGGTAGTGTCCAAACAGGGTATATTGATGGAATTCATTGTGGTATATCCACAGAATAGACCGCTGTATAACTATTAATGGTAGCCATGTAAAAGAATTCTTAATGGCATAGGGAAATTATTAAGATCTATTGAAATAAAGTGAGTAGCAAAACCATAATTCAGTATATTCTCAGTTATTTTTAAGTAGATATATTACTAGGAAAAGGCTAGAAAGAAATTAACCAGTATGTTTCCCTGAGTAAATAATTTAGAATTTCTTTTTGATTTTTGGTAGTTTCCATTTTTCCATAATAAACATATATTACTTTTATAATGTGCTTTAGGAACAATAAAGCATCATGGAAATAAACCTCCCAGAGTTTGCAGCTGGGGCCCCTTTGCCCAGCCCATGAGAAAGCCTAGGTGTTCACCAGTCCAGGCTCCCGGGACCAGGATGGGCAGAGAGTGATCCTGGCTACCTGGGCAAATGGTCTTGTTTCCACGGATGTGCCTTGTCAGCCCACTCAGTTTTTATTCACACCCCTGAGCACACTGATTTAAACCCCCAAATTAAGCTTCATATGAGGTTTTCTGTGATTTTGAGAAGGGTCAGAAGTGAAACTAACAATAAAATTGCCTATCTCAGTAAATTAAATTCATATGTGCTTTTCTGAATGGGCTTTCATAACACTAGTACTTTGGAATCCAGCTGGCTTCCACAGACCTTGGAATGAACAGTCTTCTTTTTTCTTTTTTTTTTTTTTTACACAAGGTTCAATTGAGGAAAAATAAAAATATTTATGAGCTACATTTTTCTCCCACCCAAAATAAAACTAGCTTTTTAGAATCCCATAAGAAAAACAACTGTTTTTATAAGCCATAAACTACATTATTGGGAGAAAACAACATTTGTAATATTTGCATGCTTTTTAGCCATCTGAATTCACCTCTCTGCACACACACACATGCAAGATGAACAATACAGAGGCGTCATCCTGAACTTCACTCTGGAAAGTTAGGTTGTTTGCTCTCCCTGGAAGCCAGGTGAGAAATCAGTGTCAGTAAGTGCTGAGACAGAGTTGGGGAGCAAGTGGGAAATTCAGGGATCAAGGAAGTAAAGACATGTGGTCTACTTCATCAGGATGTTTGGGTTCAAAGAGGGATAGTAAGGACTTTGGGGGCACACGAACCATGTAATTGAGCTGAGGATGCAAAGAGTCAGTAGACATGGAGACAAAAGATAAGGACAGATTTAGGAGGAGATTAAATAAGAGCAAAAGTGGAGAATTTGTCTTTAAAAATAGAGAAGATATTCTTGTCCTCCCAAATGGGAGAAAGGTGCAGCAGGAAAGATGAGGGTACTTGTCTCTGCTACATAAAAGGGAAGGACATCCGCTGCAGGCATCAGGGGCCAGGGTGAATCCAGAGACCTGAGAGGGCTGGAGAGGACTTAACACAGTCACTTAAGACTGTGAAGAATGGGAGAGGAAACCTACTCCACTGAAGCACCAGCGCAGTTAACTGATCCTCTTGACATGGGACCAATTAGAGTGATCGCAGGGCTGTCTCCAGCAGGAGTGGAGACGGGGGTCATTCAGCAGATTCCGTGATGGGAATGGTCAGGGTGGGAGTGGTGGAAGGAAAAGGCAGAGTAAAGATGGAGGGGGCCGCAGGGAGGACTGGAAGTCACTGACCACAAGATTTGGAAGATGAGGGAACCGGGCCTGGGGGAGGAAACTCGCCCTCAGGGCTGACAATGCAGTCAGCATCTTGACAACATATTCCTCCTCCGTTCCCTTTTTCCATCAAACGCCCCTCCTCAGGATTCTGTCTCCAGGGCAGAGTGGCCACAGGCCTACAAGGAGAGTGCTGGCCACCATATCAAAGTGGTAGCTGGAGTTCAAGTCACTGCCAGCTTTGTGTTCTGCTTCCCTGACTTCACTTGGTATTTTCAGCGGATGGACTCTCCTGTCCTTCCAACCCCATTCCCAGCTGAGTTCCAACTTGTAACCACGGGGCTTCTGCCCTGCTGTGGGAACACTGCAGCCCTATGCACAGGAGGGTGAATGAAGGTCCATTTCTTTGGGGAACTGGCCATGGCCAAAACCAGGCCCCCAAGAAGCTGCACACCATGACCCTCACTTCCCAGTGAGCAGGTTGTGGAGCCTGGTTGAGGTGTGGAAACGGTCTCCTCAGAGGCGGGATTATGGCTCCTATAAGGGGAAGGCAGGCTTGAGTAACTTCCTGTAGGCTTCTTTAGAAAGAATAAATGAACATGCATAGAATTAGGAACTAGTAAATCCCATTTATGTAAATTTTCACAAAGCCTTCCACAAGATTTGTACAACATTTACTCTAAAAAAGTAGACTCTCTTGAGAATCAAGCTTATAATCATCACTACCATTTTATAGTTTTATTTGACAATTTTCTTTTCCATCTATAATACTGCGACCTCCTCTTGGAAGTCCTGTGCCCACAGCCCTGCTGTGGCCTTGGCACCGCGGAGCGGCGCATGTGTCAGCGCCGGCACCACTCTGCGCCTGTCGTGTGCTACAGCAGGGCTACGCAGCCACGCCGCCATAGCCGTTATCACTGATTAGGTGGTACTTTCTGATAACGTATAAATAAATGGGCAGAACTACTTCCAGAATGGAGACACTATTTTTTGCCCAAATCTCACAATACCGTGTTCTGAGTGGTTTATCCGTATCTATCACTTTGCACTGACTGTAAAACAGAACCTTGTGAAAAGCAGGCACATGTCCACCCTCAAGAAAGCCCCACGAAGAGAAACAGTAATTAGGGAATGACCTCTCCTGTACAGGTGAGTCGAGGTAGGCCCGCATGTCCCACAGCTGGGAGTCCTTATTTTAGGTTTCATAAAAAAGATGCCCCATAATAGGGAGAGGCCACATCGGCACTGCCTCCTGGGTTGCTCCATCGTATAGGGGGGATTCTCTCCTCATCAGCTCTGACTCCAGTGTGTGGCTCGCCAGCCTGGAAAGTGACAGCTCTGTGTTTTCTGCTCTTCCCCAGCCCATTGCTTGCCGTGTCCTTTGCCACTTGCTGTGCTGTTCCAGGAGTTGCCCTTCTGACCTGGGGGGTGAACCCACTCACAGGAGCCCTGGGGCTCTTCAACATCTTCCTGTATACCTGCTGCTACACCCCGCTGAAGAGGATCAGCATTGCCAACACGTGGGTCGGAGCCGTGGTCGGGGCCATCCCACCTGTCATGGGCTGGACAGCAGCTACTGGCAGCCTCGATGCTGGTGAGTGTCTCACACGCCGCTCAGCTTCTGCTCAACAGACACACAGCGCGGGTGCCTGATCCAGGTGCCCAGAGGCTCTACTGTGAGCATTAGCATGCTCTGGCCAGAGACGTTTGCTTCCCTGACCTGCAGTACTTGGCATTAGAGTCCCCTCTGTTCAGTGCTGCTTCTTATGGCAGTGCACAGAAAGGGCGGTCTGAAATCCTTAGCTAATGGGAGACTAGGTCCTCTAGGTCTCCTGAGACATGGGGAAGCAGCTCTGTCTCAAGCCTGTGAAAACAGGTATGATAAAAAGAAAGTACCTAGAAACCACCAGCCACGTTAGCACTGCTGAGGCGTTTGGGATGTCCCACACCATAGAATTGTCTGGTTCCAGGCCTCCATGCCCCTGTCCTGTTGACGGGACACTCCCACGTCGGCAGGCCTGCTGCATTAGCTTTCTTGTTCGTTCCCACAGATCCAGGTATTTCCCCTCTTAGGAAAGAACAGATTATTTTCATTAGTTTCTAATTTATTTTTATATGATTTGCTTAAATTGTTCATGCTGCCTACAGTAAAACCATTGAGACCTTCCTACATTTTTTGGTGGTATGTCACAATGAAATTTGTGGAGTGAAATAGCCCATTTTTACCATCTGTAAGGGAAGTTTCACAGCCTAATTAGTCAAGTAATTAGTGTGTTTGACCAACACTTAGGAAGGAAGTGGTGAGGTTTCCTGGAATATATGTAAGTACATATTTTTCACATGAGAGATCAAAGGCAGTTGACCATAAACCATTGCCTATAAGCCACATTTCTGAAACTTTTCATAAAAGCTCTTAGACTCTGATCTGGCAAGCTTACCAAGATGATTACACCTTTTCCATGATTGTTTCTCAGAATGGTTTTCATATCCTGTAAATGTCAGCATTCTGTGAATCTGCAAATGCAGTATTCGACAATGCACGTGCTTGTTTGGTCTCTCCACGTGGGAGGCTCGTTCACCACACAGCCAGGTGATCAAGAGCAGTGGCTCTGGTGCAGGGCCCCCTGGGTTTGGAGCCCAGCTCCACCACTCAATGGCTGGCTGCCCTTCAGAACGTACTTGACCTCTTTATGCTATTGTTGCCTTATCTCCCCTACATGGGGCTAATAATGGTCCCTTCTCCTGGTATTGTGAGGATTAAGTGAATTATTATTAAATACTCCTAATTTCTACAATGGGTAGATTGATACAGATTTAAGAAAACTCATGAGGTTTTATTGGTATGCAAACTCTGAGCAATGATGGTTGCCTGGCTGTAGTTTTGAAGACGGAGGTGCCTCCTGGCTTTGGTGGGAAAGAGTACTGGGTTCATCAGCGTGTCTGTCTCAGGTGAGGGAGGCAGGGTGGACCACTTTGGTCTGACAACCCTGGACTAGGTGGTGTCTGAGTTTCCCCCAAGCCCCAGGACACAGTGTAAATCTAAAGAGTACTCCTGCCTCCTGCCGAACTCCTGGTCAGATTCTTCCCCCTCCTCACTTCTGCCTGGAGCCTCAACGTTGACTTGATCCAAACTCCCTGTCTCCCTAACACAACTGTCCTCTCCCCGACTGCCCCCTCCAGATGTTCTAGTGATGGCCGAGTCATGCAGGGTTGGGGCTGCGAATGAAGGTCAGTAACTTCCAGGCTCTCGGCCTCAGCATCACCCCATCCACAGTGATGTTGTGCTCTTGTACTTCACACTTGGATGCCCTGCTCTGAGCCACCTGCCTGTTCCTTAGAGACGGCCCATACCCAGTCAGGAGGGCCAGAACCTTTTTCAGCCTCCTTTAAGCTGGAATAAAGGAACAAGACACCTCAAATTGACTTTTCTGTCTAGGGAATCCCAGGCAAGGCCAGGGTCAGGGGCAAGTATTACAGCTGCAGGGACAAGTATCCCTGGAGACAAGAGAGAGCAGCCACATCTGGGCCACAGAGAACTTGGCGCCTCCATTGTACAGGGTCCTAGGACCCAGGTTCTTGCTGAGGGCTTGATGCCCCTGTTGTAGTCCCAGGGAGTTCCCTATGAAGAGTGGAGCCTCCGCATGCATAGGCTGGAGTTGCATCCTCAGAGGCCAGAGGGAAAAAGAGCTTTTCAAAGTCGTGCCTTTAGGAGCTGCCACTCAGGCAGGAGCCCTTATTGTTCAGGAACAGTCTGGATTTGACTAAACTGCTAATAGATATATTTTACATAAAATTTTGGACATAGTATTTCTGTAATCCAAATTTAAGAGGGACAGCTAAGAGCCACGCAGCCGCAGAGAGAAATGCCTTTGGCCCTGTGTGAGATGGACTTGTATCATCCTTTGTCTCCCATCCTTAAAGACACATCGCTGGACACACAGTAACAGCATGGTTCACTGGCCCCATTCTAATTGACCACAGGTCAGATTATGTACCTAAAGTCTTGTCGGGTTTACACGGAAAGAAGTCTGCTACTGTATATAATGCTTCAAACTGCTTCGAAGAAAGTTTCAAAACATTATATTGGTAAAGCAAACTTGAGATAAGCAGGAAGTCTTTGAATGAATGAGTGGGTGCATAAATGCCTTCTATTTTACAGATGGCAACAGTAGGTTAATCCATGGTCAGTTGCCAAATAGTCACTCAGGGTACCACACAGGAGGAGTGATACAAAGAAATAAGGCATCTGAGGGAATCTAGTTTGAAGATTTTTATTGCTGGGATTTTAGGAACTAGGTTGAACATGATTTTATGTAGTTTTGCTGTCTTCTAGTACTGTACTATCTAGTGGGGCATCTACTAGCCACGTGTGGCTTTTTAAATTAAAGCTGAAACTAAATAAACTCAAAAGTTCAGTTTCAGTTCCTTTAGCCGTATTTCAAACGCCCACAGCCGCCTGTGACTACTAGCCACCACACTGACAGCAGACGTGAAACATTGTCACCCCACAGAGAGCTCATTTAGACAGCACTGCGCAGAAGGGTGAGTTGGTGTCCTTGTGAGCCTGTGCACATCTTCCTCGTGTGAGTTTGTGCTTTGAATAGTAGGGCCTTGTGTGAGACTGTTCCCGTGGTCTAGCAGAGGTCTGAAACAGCCATTCTCAAACTTGGTGCACATCTGAGTCACCTGGAGGGTTTGCTAAAACTGAGACTCCTAGACCCACCTCAGGGTTTCTCACTCAACCCCCCTGGGCAGGGCCTGCAGATCTGCATTTCTAACAAGGTCCCAAGTGATGCTGATGCCACAGAAACCACAGAAACCACAGCCGGAGAACCACCAGCCTGAAAAGAGAAGCAGAGAGAGCTCCAGCTGCCTTGGAAACACCCAGGGTTGGGCGAAGGGCCTGGGCAAGTGGTGTCGTTTGAGATGCCTGAGTGGTGTCATGCGTATTAGCCACAGAGGGTCTGCCTCTTATCTGAGTTCTTATCTTAAGGGACTTATTTGCTTGAAAGAACCCTTCTAAGAATAAAATGGCTCCCAGGCTTTCCTTTCTTCGGTGGTATCTCCAAACCATTTTATCTTTGAACCTCCAAAGACCCTTCACTTTGGAGAAAGCCCATGGGTAGAAAAGTTGGGGTGGGAATACTGCATTGAACCGTCCTGACGGTAGGAAGAGAAGGAGGCAGGGGTGAAGGTGTGAGGGAGGCCAGGAGACCACCCTCCCAGAACAGCCTGGACTAGGAACTGCTGGGGCTCACTGCCTTCATCCCTAGCCTCACTGTGCAGCTGTCAATTGAGGACCTACTGTGTGCAGGGCACTGAGAAGTGCAAATATACCAAAATCCAGTCCTTGCAGAATCATGTCTCACTCAGCATCATTAGGTAATGAAATATTGACTGAGCTAAGCCTTTAGCAGGAAGAGTCCTCAGAGGGTTGCAAAATGACCTAAGGCAGTCTTGGAGTGCAGTGACTTCGGAATTAAGTCAAGGTAAGCTTGCCTGAGAAGGGCAGGTGTTTTCCAAGAAGTGAGAAGAACAAGCACAAAGAGGTTTGTAGGCCCGAGGCAGGAGGCCCTCAGAGGAATCCTGCTCTGCGGAAAGGCAGGGCAGGTACACTGCAGGCCGGAGCAGGAAAGCCTCAGGGCTCCGCTTCCTGGAGACCTAACCACAAAACAGTGTGCAGCTGGTTGGTTCCTTCAGAAATCAGTTGAGTTGCTGAAGCCCGCCTGGCCTCCCAAACTTGAGTGTCTTCTCTCACCTCCTGTCCTCCTGTCCTCCCTGGTCAAAACATCATCCTTTGAGTGTTGAATGAAACATCGGTCGGATCGTCCTTTGCAAGAGCAGCTTGGGAACACGAGAGAACCCTCAGGTGGGAATGAAGGGCAAATGACCAAAGGGCGGCCATCACACCAAACTTGTTCCTTGCCTTGGCCCCGCCTTCCCTGACTGCTCAGCCAGGACTCCACGCACCCAGTGCTGTCATCTGTCACTCAGTCGTGTATACCTGTGCAGAAGCCATTTCCCGGGGCTCAATAGATGGTGGGCAGGACTGGAGAGCATGCGGCTCAGGGCCGTTAGAACATAGGAACCTGCCAGCGTCCCCTGTTGAAGAAGCTCCCTGTCCAGTCCGGAGACAGAGGGCCAATACAATAGCTGGGGAAGAGGGTGGGTGTCCCAGTGGCTTGTGGAGTCAGGAGGTAGGTGTTCAGAAGGACCTTCTCCCTGTCCCGGAGGCTAGCTGGTCTGTGAGTTGTGCTGTGGCTGCCGGGCTGGTGAGGACCCCAGACTGAGCACCACACAGCTTCTGCCGCCTTCCCTCCCTCCTCCAGTAAAGGCCTGAAGCCTAACTTGCAGGTGGGGAGGGATAATGGTTCTCTGAGGGTCTGATTCCCCTGCCCACCCCCCCACCCCCGCAGCTACTTTATTGTTTTTGTTTTGTTTTGTGCTGGGTTTTTGTTTTCTCGTATCAGATAGTGAAAAACAATTCTCATTGTTTTAGATGCCCCAGTGGGCAGGGTCCAAACCTGTGCTCACTGCTGCATCCCTGGTTAACCCAGCACAGGGTGAGTGAGGCAGGGCCGGGAGGGGGGAGGA